AGCTTGGGACCTATTAGAGCCATCATTATAGAAGAGACAATTCTGTTGGACATCTGTAACACCAACAGTGTGCTATTCAACAGTTAGTTAATTGCATAAAAATGCAGATGCTATGAAACATAGCCACGTATGTATCACATGTCGGCCACACATGCCACACCAAAGTTAAAGAAGCTGTTTTCCCTCCAACGGATGTGTTTATGCCTCTGCATATGATACAGCACACAATGGGGCTGAGAGGCCGAGTCATCTGAGGATTATATCTTCCCAGACTGTCATGAAGTAATGTTGTACAACCATAGAGAGGCTGGGCTTTTTTGCATGTGCATCATTTAGGACGTACAGTTTCAGTGGCTGTTTTAAGAAAGGCATGAAACCTGGATGAAAGGGCACTAATGTGGGAGGTATTTAAGAGATGGGTGCACCCCTAAATCCTAATTTGGGCTGGCATGGCAACATTATAGTTACAGCACCCAGAGAGGGTTCCTCAGAGGAGGCCTGAGAACTAAAGACCAAGAAAAAGGTTGAAACAGTGCTCTGCACTTCTCCCACAAGCCATTAAGGCCATCAGTTATTTACCCTTGAAGATAAGGAAAAGCTCACTGCACACTCCCACTTACCATTACAAGGAAAGTGACAAGGAGAGAATCCCTGCTTTCCAATCAGTACTCCTTAATGCCCTGCACTTTTCTATAAAGCCTGTTTCAAGTTGGCCTTTCTTTTTGAATCAAAAGAAGGATATTCTTACGTGGTTTACACAGTTTAGTAAGTGCAAAATGCTCTGGAGGGGGGTAAAAAGTTCCTCCCTGAAGATGGCAACGGCCTGATGGAAAAGAGAGACAAATATGCTAAAAACCAACCTATGGTCAAGGTCTCCCCATTCTTCTGGGAGGACGGTAGAGAGAATATCACTGAAAGATGCCAATCTGTCTTACACAGTGGGAATCACAAAGCCATGGGACTGGAAGGCAGGCTGAGGGCCACGGAGGAAGCTCTCCAACTCGAAGAGGAAACATCAGAAAGTCACAACACAGCTGCCTAACTAGTAGGTAAGATCTGCAAGACAGAGAAATGCCTGTTTGCTCTTAAATTTTCCCCCACGCAGCTACCAGTTTATCTGAAATGTCTGTGTTAAGGCACTGCTCTTTCGAACCCTTGACAAAATGCAAACCTGTTACCTAAAAGGGATGCAATTTCCAGCCAATGCCCGCTCCTAAATTCATCAGAGCACCTATAGGGAACCATAGAAACTCCTGAAGGCACAGCCTTGCTGGGCAGTACAGGAGAACACCTGAAGGACCCCACAAATAGCTCTACAACTTTACAGTTTGGGTTAGGGCCAAGGTCCTTTCAATTTGCCATGATGACCTTGGAAAGGACAGTAGAGAAAGTCACCTAGGAAGGCTGCCAACCCAGCTGCCCATTCCATACCTTGTTGAATAAAATGTTGTATGGTAGCTCCACAACATAGGGCTAAAGTAAGGAAAACTGCTGTACACCCTCATGAGGGCTAGTGAAAAGTAATTAAGGTGAATCTAATCAGCTACAGTTACATCTTCTTTGAAAAGCATGGTGAGCTATGGTCAGTGACCAAACAATTACTCTCTGTTCAATTTCTGTTTTGCTCAAAACCTGATTAAGGTCTACCAGTAAGCCAGGTTCTGAAATGCTATCAGTGATGCCAATAAGAGAACTAGGCAAATCTTGTTTGCTTCTTGCGAGGAACAGGCAAATGCTTCTGCTTATCTTCTTCGGCCACACTATTACCAAGTGCTATTGAATTCATTCCTCAGGAGTGCCATATAGAATGTGTTGGGGGGAGGCTCTAAGTGACTCAGAGCATCTGAATCAATGTTAACTGGGAATTGCAGAGGCAGGAAAAAAAAGCTCTTCTATCTTCTCTCATCCTTCCTTTTTTTTTAAAAGACATCTAACTTCCTCACAAACAACTGTTTATTTGGGTTGCATCCTCTATCCAGGACAATGTCTAAAGCAACAGCCCTTCTTAGGGAAATCTAAGGTGAAATTTTCATTCATGCCCATGTTCTGATAATCAAAGACAAGATTTCTCTGTAGAAAGCCCTCAATTGCCATATCATTCTATTGCATTAACCAGTAAGCCTGTGGGTTCAAAAATTCAGATAAACTTTTTGCTTTCTGGCATCTCTAGGGAACTTAAATTAACCATATTTATCAAAGAGGTTCTGAAAAACAGAACTGCTAAGCGGGAAGTTTGAGAACTCTTATTTGGAGCAGACCTGATTCCTGGCACTGGGCTAGTTTTCGTCCGCTTCGCTGACCCCCTGGAATCCCTCTCGGCTGATGTGAGTTGCCCTGTCGCAGGGCTGAAGCTGGGTGAACGTAAGCGCATACCGCGACCCCACACCGCGTCCCCTCGGCCCCCAAACACCGCTGCACCAAACTGCTCGCGGGGCCTCCTGCTCGACCACCCGCTCTGCACGCCGGGCGCGCGGAGGGGAGACCGCTTCCCGCTTCCCTCGCTAGAGGGCAGACGGGGCCCGTGCAAAGCCCTCCAGGCGCCCGGCCGCCGCGTGCCCGGCCGCCGCTCCCGCGCTCGGGTCTGGCTCCCGGGTTGGGCTCGGCGGCGAGGCGCTAGGAAAAGGCCGCGCCAGCGAGCGGCGCGCGACCGGGACCCCCAGAGGGCGCGGGCTGGGGCCGCTCCCCCTGCGTGCAGGCTGCGGGCGCCCGCGTGAAGTTCGGCGCGCAGGTGAGGCCGGCGCCTCGGAGGGCAGAAGCCGGGGCTCAGGGCCGGCTCCGGGAGCGCAGGGCGCAGCGGGCGAGGGAGAGGCGACGGCCGCGGAGGAGAATGGCGGGGCCCCGGCCGCGCCGCGCCCTCGCCTGGGCTCTCGCCGCCCGCCGGGAGCGCGGGCCTCTAGCGGGAGCCCCGGCCCTTCCTGCCCTTCTCCTTGCCTCTGTTTTTCGCTCGGTCCTCTCGCCCGACAGGCGCTCGCTGTACGCGGACGGCTCCCGACGAAGGCGACGCGCGACCGGTCTGGGTCGAGGCTGGAGGCGGGTGTGGGATGTTTGTCCCTCGAGGCGGACAGCGAACGGCCGCGCTGCGGGCGGCGGCGTCTCCAGCCGCCTGAGGGCAGCGGCGCGGGGCCGGGCACCTGCGCCCGGCGCTCTCGGGCTGGTCCCGCCGCGCAGAGCGGTCCTCGGGGCCCGCCGCCGCCGCCGCTCCGCTCCTGCCCTCTGCGCGAGCCCCGACCTCCCACAAGTTCTGGGGAGCTCCTCGCCGGCTCCGTTTCAACCGCCCCCCAGCCACCCACCTCCCGCCCGCAGGTATGGGCAATGTCTTGCCAAAGGGTTGCAGCCCCGGGCAAGTTCGCTATGGATTCAGTGTGACCGAAGAAATGACAGTAGAATGTTCCTGAGGGGAAAGGTTTATATCCAACTTTATTTCCACGGTGGCAGGTCAGTCACTAGAATCCCATCCACTCAGAGCGCATGAAGCAAGCCGGTCTCTGCCTCTGGGCCTGTCTACCTATGCAGCCGTCTCAGTCTCTGTCCTCAGCCCTGCCACCACTCCAGCCTCTGCTCTCCTGCAGCCTTGTAGCCGTGCCACGGTGTCGCCCAGAGCACTGGGCGGAGCTCTTTATATAGAGTCAATAACAACATATTGCCCACACGTGGGTAGTGAACTAGCTGATTAGGGCCAGTGAAGGAACCTTCACTTTATCAACAGGCAAGCTCAGAAAGGAGGCACGCTTAAGGGTTTTGGGGTCTGGGGTTTTATAGGGCCTTTTTGGATAAGGGTCAGCATAGGCATGATGTATACAGGTTATTCATAATTCCGTTGAAGTTTTGTCTTAAGAATAGGGTGATTATGTTCGTTGGGGACTTCAGCATTTTTTCTCCACATAGATTATTTAAACTTCTGAGGTCTGTCTCCTGCCATGGTTACAAAGTTACTAGATTAGGGGCTGGAGGAAGAGGAAAAAACAGCATATAGGTTAAATTAAAGAATAGCTGGGTCTTTTTGCAGGCTAAATAGATTTTACAACTGGCATGATTTAATTGATACAATGAAGACATGGGCTGCCATCGGATACTTTTCTTTATCTGGGGAGTATGCAGACATTCATTTCAAGTTACTCCTGGCCTTGGGAACTTCAGCTGATTAACTCATTAACTCTGTGAGCCCTTTCTGGCTCCCTAGTTTTATCTGGTTAGTTTTGAGTCCTTTTAAGTGGACTTTACTGACCTTATTCTCTCTCCACCCCGCTCCTATTTTTCTGCCTAACATGACTAATTTGACTTTTAGCCATTTTGGAGGTTTCCCACCAAGATTAAGTAAAATCTGGTGTCTGGAATACCAGCTGTGGTACTGACAGCAATAGGAAGTGCTGAAGGATAATTTTTCCAAAAGGTAAAATCATGACACTCGTACAGATATAAAAATGAGCACATGTGAAAAATCACTTTTAACTCATTATTAATGAGGAGAACTGGTCAGGTGTTAAAACCATTTCAAAGGAAATTCAAACAACAGAAAATTAAGACAATGAATATAAAAACTGGGGCCAAAAATTAGGAGTCTCTCCACTTGACAAGAGTTCATCTGCATGTCTTGTAGGCAAGAATTATTTTTTGCTGTTATCAGTTATAACTACAGTTTATAAAATATCACCCATAGATTCAAAATCGGAATATCCTAAAGGTTGTCCTCTAACAAACAGCAAAAATATTTTTTGGAAAGGGCCATAATAGTAAATAGTTTAGTCGTTTTTCCAACTACTCATCTAAGTTAAGAGAGCAGGCAATACAGAAACAGATGGGCAGCTCTCTGTTCCAATATAGATTTATGGGTTCAGAAATTTGAATTTCATATAATTTTTACATCACAGAATATTATTTTGTTTTTTTCCTAATCATTTAAAAAAATATATGACACATTCTTAGCTTGTGGGCCTCACAAAAACAGGCAGTAACAGAATTTGGCCCGCGTGCAGTAGTTTGCGACTCCTTGCTCCTGTGGGTTTCCGCTTACATAGGTTTCCATGGAAACTCACCTTTTCCCTACAGGAACACAGGAGGTTAAATGGGGATATAGTTATGCAGCAACTCGGCGGCCGAAGTTGCAGGTGATGTGTCCGGAACAATGCCTAACGTTTTAACTGTTGTTATCCTGGAATTGAGGTCATATGCCCAGCTGAAGTCAGGACTAAGGTCAATGTCTGGACCTGACTTCAAAAAATGGGCTGCGCGCGCAACAGAACTATATCCCACGCCACACAGTCGTTGCGGGATTAGACTTCCCCCCCGGTAGCGCTCCTGGCCGCAGGTCAGATCCCTTCTTAGGAATTCTGGGAGAACCTGGAAATTTGGAGGACAGCTAGACGGGAGAGGCAGTAACTGTCTGTGATTGGCCATCTCAACATGAGAGGCGGGATGACAGGCAGTGATTTGCTAGCGTAATGCTGGACTGCAATTGGCCAATACAATATTGGGCCTGTAGTATGGCGACGGTTACCCATAGGCCGGCACAGAAAGGGGCAGGGAAACAAGGAAAGTGAGTAATTGGCAAGCGCGGAGTGGCGCGACACTTATTTGTGATTGGTCCATAAGGCACGGAAGAAAGTGTGTCTTCGTTCAGCAATTGGACCTGGAATGAAATAACGGTCTTTTATTGGCTAATAACTCTCGGGGCGGGGAAAGTGGAGCGTCGAGCGGTCAGTGATTGGCCAGTAAGATTGCCGTCGCTCGTGAATACAGTATGCGATCGGCGAGGACTGCGAGGGGCTGGCGTCCCGGGCGCCGGTTCCTGGAACCGGGCGGGCGATGACTTCCGGCTGTTGGCGCCGGCTACGCGGCCTATGGGCCGCCGGGCAACCGCTGTTCCAAGGTCGTGCGCTGCTTGTCACCAACACGCTGAGCTGCGGCGCTCTCATGGCGGCCGGAGACGGCGCGCGCCAGTCTTGGGAGATCCGCGCCCGGCCCGGCCAGAAGTTCAACCTGCGGCGCTCAGGTGAGGAAGCCGGCGCTGCTGGTCCTGACCCCGGGGATCTTTGACTCCGACCTCCGATTTTGGAGACCCCTGACCCGTGGCCTTAATTCTCTTGACTTCGGCGTGCACTCTAGACCCTGACAGCCCACCCCCGGGTCTATCCCCTACCACCCCCATAACCCCTGGTCTCCGCCCCCCTCCTACCCCTGGGTCTCTGTCCCCTTCACTCTGGGTCTACAGCCCCTTACATACCAGGGGGTTCTGGCCATTCCCACCCACGGTGTCTCGTCCCCGCCCGGGACTGTGCCCTGGCCCCACATTCCAACTCACTATGCCTGTTTCTTCCTCTGGAAAGTGGGGTAATGGTAGAATACCCTAGCAGGGTGGTGGGAGGATGAGGCGAAAAAATAGGAAAGGAGTCACTGGAATGGCGCCTGACGGTGGAGGATGTAATGGAAGAATGCACGAGTGGACTCTGGGAGGTTGTCAGGTTTACCAGGAAGCGGGTGGATGGGGGCTTGCTGCTTGCTGACCTGAGGTGGCGCTCCTGACTCTCCGACTGCCTTCAGCTAGCATGTTTGCGGTGGGCTGCAGCATGGGCCCCTTCCTGCACTACTGGTACCTCTGGCTGGACCACCTGCTCCCCACATCTGGCCTCCGTAGTCTCCCAAACGTTCTCAGGAAGGTCCTCATCGACCAGCTGGTCGCCTCTCCCATGCTGGGGGTCTGGTACTTCTTAGGTAAGGAGCCCCTTGAATTTGGGTTTTGCCTCTCATAGGTCGGGAGGGGCAGAGCCACTTTTGTGTTAAGAAGGATGCCGAGGCACATTTCTGATGTGTGCCACTGGGACTGGGGACCGGGCCCCGGTGGTGACAGGACAGACCCAGTGGGGGCAGGTACATGAATAGTTCTAAGTAGGGACGAGGATAGTGTCTGATTGGGTACGCCTGGGGCAGTGGTTGGGAGGATTCCCAAAGGAGAGGGCATTCAGCTGAGACTTGAAGAGGAGCCAGCAGGCAGGAGGAACCACCCGTGCAAAGGTCCTGAGGCTGAAGGAAAAGTTGATGAAGATAGGGTTCATGGGGTGCAGTCACCCCAGCCTTTGACTCTGTGAATGGTCACCCATTCCCTACTCCCCAGGCTCAATATCTTCATCTGTGAAGGAAATAAATCACACCCTTGGGAAGGGTATGACTACATCCTTCAGGGCACGTGTTTATTTATAACCTCTCCCCCTCCTGGGACTCTCACTTGTTCTTCATTGTTACCCCACGCCAGCCATCCAACTGTGGCATACAGTAGGGCTTTTACATGTCCTGGTTCCTCTGCCTGGAACAGTCCCTTAGGGAACCCACCCTACCCACTGCATCATCCCTACTCCCCAGCCTCTGATGCGCCCATTTCTCGGTTTTCTTCCCAGGTCTTGGCTGCCTGGAGGGCCAGACCATGGGCGAGAGCTGCCAGGAGCTGAGGAACAAGTTCTGGGAACTCTACAAGGTAGGCGTGCCCGCCCACCCGCTATTCCCTGCCCCTTGTCTTTACCGCTCCACCTCAGGCCACTCCCCCTCGATGCCTGCCCCTCACCACTTTCCGCCCCTCCCTGCAGGCCGACTGGTGCGTGTGGCCAGCTGCGCAGCTGGTGAACTTCCTCTTCGTTCCTCCCCAGTTCCGAGTCACCTACATCAACGGCCTGACGCTGGGGTGGGATACGTACCTCTCCTACCTGAAGTACCAGGTGAGCATGGTGGGCGGACCGGGCACCTAGGGGACTCCTCAGGGGCCACATGTGTGAGCCCCAAATGGCACTACAGCAGCCCTCCAGGTTGGGGCCTCTTGTGACCATGACAGCCTGAACCCCAGGGTGGGCGGGCAGGGACCTGATCACCAAGTCCACCTCTGTCTGCTGCCTGCTGCGACCTTGGCCAGGTCCCTGCTGCATCAGTCTAATGAGTCTGACCCCAGCCCAAAGGTAAGTAGAAGAGTGCTCCCTGAACAGGAACCCAGAGAGATAAACGGCATGTGACCAGGCCCTCTTGTGTGGACAGATCCCAGGCTCCCTGACCCCTCCCAAGCTGCACCCTGGGCAACCTGCAGACTGAGCTGTGCCACCTGCCGACCAGATGACAGACAGGACAAGACTGACCACCGGCTGACCACCAGCTTAGGCAGGAAGGGAAACAAGCTCCTGCAGCTCCTGAGAAGAGTCCTGCCTAGTCCTGATACCTGGGCGTAGACTGCCTCTTCTTAGCCCACTACTGGGCCTCAGTTTCCCCATCTGCAACACAACCATGAAGATGGACAGTCATCTCCCATCCCTTCTCACTGGCGGCTTCATTGACTGGTGAGGGAGATGGCATATCCTCTGCAACCGGCCCCAACCACACATCCCAACCCCTCGATGCTATTGTGGACTGGGCTCTGGGCCCAAGGAGGGGTGGGGAAACATTGCCTGTCCCCTCAGAGCAAGGCCCAGCCTGGAGTCAGTTCCCCAGAATCTGTCACTTTAGACAGGGTCTCAGGTCTCATCTTAGGTGGAAATTCTAGTAAATTCTGTTGCTGAAAATCTTGTGGACCACTGAAGTCAATGCTGGTCAGCAGGCGCTCAGAGGGACATGGCCTTGTCCATTCACTTTATTGGGTGTGTGTAGTGTTGTCATGACATCTCCTGGGGGACAGGGGGCACGTTTGACACTCAGGTCTGGTGTAGGGGGGTGTCCCAGGGTGATACCTACAATAGCCCCCCACCACCTCCAAAAAGTAAAATGTTGGGGGTGAGGAGCCAGGCAGGCTGTCGCCCGGTTCTGACCCACCCCTTGGTCCATGCTAAGACCCCCTCAGTAGCCTCTGCCTGCCATGCCACAGCCATGGTGTATAGCAGGCCTGGCTACCTCCTATCAGCTGATCAGCATGCCCTGGGGTATCATCTGGCCCCCTCTTCAAAACTGATAACTTGCTGAATCTTAAAAAAGGTGGGGTCTCAAGAGGAAGGTGAGCTGTGAGTTCACAGGGCCACAACACACGCCACAGCAGAGCAGGGACAGAGTTGTATGTATAGGGCAGGGCAGGGCATGGGGTGGTGGGGGGCGCCCAAGCCCCTGGGGGACATCTCCAATAAATAAATAAAATAGCTACGATAATAAATAAGGATGACTGGCTAAGTGGGGGCAGGAGTCTTGTGCCCACCGTGGGTGGGGACTGGGTTAGGCCCAGGGGATGGGCAGGGGGGTGGGGCCAGGATGGGCGGCAGCTCTCAGCAAGCACAGTCCTGGTGTGGGGGTGCCTGCTGGTCAGTCAGCTGTGGGCCCTGCTTGGCGCCCGTGACTGCGGGGTCGGCTGTGTCCAAAGACTCGGACATCTTCTCGCAGATGACATCCACCAGGCGCTCAAAGGTTTGCTTGACATTAATATTGTCCTTGGCGCTTGCCTCAAAGAACTCAAACCCTGTGGTTGGGGGAGGGAGGGTGAGGACCTTGGTACACCCTATCCCCACCCTGCTCCTAGAGATCCTTCTCTGAGGCAGGCACCACCAGGAGATTCCCAACAGCCAACCACACTTTAAAGGCACTGACAAGTCCTGCGGGGAAGCCACAGTGGCTTGGGTCATTCCTATATTTCTGCCCTAGGAAGAGTCCTGACTCCTTGGCACATGGTTCAGGCTGGCCCTGCACAATTGGCCACATTTCTCCAAGTGACCCTCCCATTCGAGCCATGTAAAATTATTTGCCAAAACACAGTAGATCTCTCTTGCCTCTCTCTTTTGCCTAAGCTGTTTCCTCTGCCCAAAAGACCATCCTTTCTTCAAGCACCATATCCAAAGACTTCGAGGATTACCTGCACCAGGCTGTCCCTGTGCTCTTCCTCAGCCCATGTCCCTCCTATCCCCTCAAACTGAAGGCCTCTTGGGAACCAGTACCCAGCACAAGGCTGGGCAGTTAGAGTGTGAGAATGCATCAGTAAATTCCTATATAGTGAACTTCTATGCATCCATCAAGATCCACCTCAAATGGCTCCCAAATCAAGGCGAGTTTGTAGAAACTGTGAATTGCCTGGATTTGAATCCAGGCTCCACCCTGGCTTTGCTGTGAGACTTTGGGTATGTCCACTCCCTTTAGGACCTCAGTGTCTCTTTCCCAGCCTGTAGGTGTACAGCCCTGATGGGCACTCACCAAGGTGGTCGGCCAGCTGCCGACCACGTTCCGATGACACAACCCGCTCATCTTCCATGTCACACTTGTTCCCCACCAGGAGCACCTGGGCATTGTCCCACGAGTAGGTCTTGATCTGGGTCGACCTGGAGGAGGAGGTGGCAACAGGGGTTGAAGGATCCCTCATCTCCCTTTCACTTATCCCATTCCGTTCCCCCATTATTCCTTGAAACAGGCAGGCTTGGTCCCTCCTGGCCTTTGTCCTGCCAGTAACACACTCTCCTCTGTGGGTGTCTGCTCCATCAGTTAGTTCCCTGATCTTGGAAATCCCTCTTTCAAGCAGCTCCTCCCACCCTTCACAGATTCCCACCCCCAGAGAAAAAATTTCTCCCTCCTCAACAATTCAGAAATTTTCTTACTCCTGGGCAGCAAATGTAAATTTTGTAACCTTTCACCTTTGCAAATTGTCATATTTTTTTATCCCTCAAGACTTTTTTTTCTATATTTACAGTTTCATTTTCCACCTGAAATCCCTTTTTCCCATTATTTTGAAACAGTGCCACTGTGATTACAGATTAATGACTATAGGTTAGCAGCAGGCCTGGGACCCAATATTGTTATGTATGTTTCTGCTGGGGAGACCAGGGCTCTTTTGTCATCACCTGCACCTCAAGCCTGGCTCTGTGGACAGTCTGAAAGGGGTTAGGGGTATGCTCACCAGTCCTGCACGGCGTTGAAGGACTCCTCATTGGTGATGTCATACATGAGGATGAAGCCCATGGCTCCCCGGTAGTAGGCTGTGGTAATGGTCCGGTACCGCTCTTGTCCTGCTGTGTCCTGAGGAAGAAGAGACCAGGGATCAGAGAGGCCCCACACATAAGCTCCTCAGAGTGGAAATGAGCTCTGAGATGGTCCAGTCCAGCCCCCTTGAGGCCCAGAAGCACTGAGGGTCAGGGAGAGAGAGCTGATGACCTACATGGAGAACATGGTGCCCAATCATCCTTTGGAGTCTGATACCTGACAAATCGTCCCCACACCCTGGCTGGGCAGTGGGGATACAGCAGTTAACAAAATGGACAAAAATCACTGCCCTTGTGAAGCTGACAGCCCAGTGAAAGAAACAGATAATGAAGACATAAAAAGGAAGAAAATGTATCTTATGTCATAGGGTGATAAGGACTGAGGAGAAAAATTAAGCTGGACAAGGATGGACAGTGTGGGCTGGGGTGTGCTTATAAAGCTGAGGGAAGTGAGGGAGGGAGCCACATGGGGACCAGCAGAAGGACAATCTGGAGAGAGGGCACTGCCCGAACAAAGGCCATGAAGTGGAACTGTGCCTGGTGCCTCACTGAGGAACAGCGAGGAGGCTGAGGCGGAGATGGAGGGAGACAGACCAGGGCAGAGGTATCAGCAGGGATGGGCCCGGCCAGGTCTCCTAGGCTAGAGTACATCTCTGACTTGGCATTTAACAGGTGCCTCAGGCCTCCATGGGATCGAGGGAGACGGCCAGTAGACTCAAGGAAAGATGGCTGCTCCTGTCCCAGGTTGTGAGGTTGCAGGCCAAGATGCAACTGAAACTTCATACAGGCTCACATAGAAGAACTTGAAGATGGGGAAACTGAGGCACCAAACCAAGTGCTGAGGATAGCAGGCACAGGAGAGGACCCAGCATTTGTTCTTTCCTCACCCTTCGAGAGCACTGATCAGGCGCCCATGGAAAGACAGGGACACCCTGTTCTGTACCTGTAGCCCCCAGTACACAGTAGGCACCCAATAAATGCCCAGTATGTGAATGAGTGAATCCAGACAGGAAAGACAGGCAAAGCTGGGGTGCTTTTCTGGGGAGGGAGAGTGATAGAACTGGGAGCCCAGCTTGACCCACCCAGATCTGCAGCTTGATCCTCTTGTCATTGCGGTAGATGGTCTTGACCTTGAAGTCGATGCCCACAGTGCTGACAAAGGCCGGTGTGAAGGAGTCGTCTGCATAGCGGAAGAGAAAAGACGTCTTGCCCACGCTGCTGTTGCCAATGATGAGGATTTTGAACATGTAGTCGAAGTTCTGGTCAGAGGATTCTTTCTGTCCATAGCGCGAGTCTGTGGCAGATGCCATCTGGGGGTGCAGGGCATAGGGAACGTGAGGGGTCTTCCCTCCATCCGCAACAGCCCGAGCCTCGGGAACAGGATGGGAGGACTGCAGATCTCCGCAGAGGGACTAGTGATCAGAGATTACCCTTATCCCATCAGGATCCCCAGTACTAATGGGAGGGTCCACGGCAGAGGCTGGAACGTGACCTTGAAAGGCCCTAGGTTTCAGAGGAGCACACAGCAACCACGGTGGGGACACCTCTACAGCCCCCTCCAGATGGCCTGAGACCGAGGTGGGGCTGTAACCCTAAACCCTATGGCCGCACGGGGGTGACTATGACCGGCCCCGCTCCCCATCAATCATTTATGTTCCTTAGAACGGAGCCGCACTGGTACAAGGCACGTGCACACGCTTGTACAGTCCAGCAGGGACGCGAGCTCAGGCTGAGCCAGCTCCATCACGTGACGGGGAAGGGCGTACACATAGCAGGGCACATACTTGTACACGAGTGTGCACATGAGGGTAGAACACAGTGCACAGGGCAGAGACGCAGACGCCTGCCTGCACACAGGCATGCATACACAAATGCGGAAACCCACCCGTGTGCACAGCGCGCTCCACCCAAGCAGGCGTGTACATGACACCCATACGGGCACGAATCCTCGTGCACTTATGCACACAGATGTACACTCACAGTCCACGCGTCTCTCTTCACATGCATGCAGCATGCACATTTTTGGGTTGGGACCCTCACGGGGTCACAGGAGCATATCCTGGTACCCAAGCAGGGGTACACACACCCTCCCTCACAGAAGGGCGCGCACACACGTGTGCACACCAAGCGCACGCGCACGCACGGAGCCTCCTGCGCGCACTGCTTCCCGCAAGGCACTCACCTCCCTTCCCCCTCCGCCGCAGAGCCAGGGGTGAGGGTGGCGGGTGGGAGTGAGGATCGGGCAGGTAGGGGAGCCGGGGCCCTGCCCCCCCGCAGGATCGCAACCGCCACATCCTTCTCCGCTTTTTAGCCCCGCCAACCTCGTCCCCCACGACCGCCAGACCATCAGTCAAATCAAGGTTATGGAGGTGCTCCGAGCGGGAGCGAACCAGGCCGCCCGGGAGCTCACCTTGCCCTGCACGGATGCAATAGAGATCCTAGCGGCGGTGACTTTTTTTGGCAGGGGCAGCGACGGGCCCCGTGAGCTGATGTGGGGCTGCGCGGCAGCTACAGCGGCGGCGGCGGCGGCTGCTCAGGACCCTGCAGTCCGCTGTGACGTCCTGCAAAGAGTGGGGCGGGGCCTCACATGCAGATGAGGCCGCGGAGCCATCCTGGGC